AAAAACCCCCCAAATACAAATCGATTTTAGAAACAAATTTTTCCGTTGTTACCCAGGCCTAGTTTTTACTATTAGCCACTTTGAATTTCCTTTGGAAGATAAAAGCGTGGTATAAATACTATTACTGCTGCGACTTATAACAACAACAACTTTTTATTTGGGTGTTAACAATCTGCCCAGATGTGTTGAATTTCTATGAAAGACAGAAAACATGATAGCAACCAATGCAAAGCCAAACATGTTTGCTCAGATGCAAGTTCCACTAGGTGCAGTAGGAGTAATTTCCATATGAGAATATTTGGGTTTTTTTCTTCTTTTTTGTGTTTCAGTAAAGTGAGCAATTACTCATCACAATATCAAGCTTCTTAATTTGTGATGGACTTTTAATGAGCAATTTTCTGATGGACTTTAATGAGCAAATATTGTAGGGTTTCCCTCTACAATAGTAGCTTTTTTATCTATTGGTTCATCCCCATTTTTGTCCAGTACTCAGTGAATACTCCAAATTATGAAAACATTTGCTTTGGGAAGTATTTTTAATTTTTAATTTTTTAAAGGTAAATTTGCAGGAGGCCAGAGGCTAAGCATGATGGATCAGACTGAAAGAGCAAAGGGCTATTCATAAAAATGTGGGCCCAAATTCTGAGTCTCCAAATTCCTTGTTTCCAAATATGTGATCTTGCCTCAATAAAATGAATTAAAGGGGGGTTTTTTGTCTGTCATAAATGCATGTATACAAACATGCACACAAATCTTAACCCGTGAATAGGCCAGGGGTCCTAAAACTTTTTAAGCTGAGGGTAGAATTACCATATCTCAGACTGTTTGGGTGGTCGGGCAGACAGTAATTGGAAAGAATTATGAGCTTATTTCTAACTACGAAAAGAAAAGCTGGTGAAGATGATGTTTGTAATGAATACAGTGGATCAACTATAGAGGAAACCGTCTAAAAATCAACTGTAGTATGTAAGAAGTGTAAAGGAAAAATTTCCAAGCTTTGTTTATACAATAAAGCTTACATGAAACAGGAGTTCACATTTTCCGGTAGTGAAAGGAATCCTTGTCTCCAGGGTTCGGTTTGTGGGAGGCAGTTGCCAGTTGGGTTCTAGCAGGATGGAGTAGCCATCCTGCAGAGAAACAAAGTATCCTAAGAGAAAGATTATATGGTAATCCTGTAGGTATAGTGGACCCAAACCATGTA